CTCCCATGCACTGCAAACTTGTGGTTGTAGTCCTAGGGCCCTGTCTCCTTCTGCTTTGGGCTGGGGCATGATGATGTTGCTGTGAAGCTGCCATGGCATTGCTAGCTCGCGATCGCAGCTGTTGGGGAGGTTGGCTAGCTGCTGTCGCCCCGCCTGCGGGAGTCGTCGCCAGCCGAAGCTGGCGATTATGTCCGTGCCCTTGCCCTTGCCGGGCGAGCACCGTAGTGAATTAATAATCCTGGTCGACCAGGGGTGGTGGACGGTGCTGCCTCCGCGTTCTCGCGGGCGCCGTTGGCGATGGTGACGTAGTCGCGATGGGTGAGCGTGGGGTGTGTCCACAGCTCGCTGAACTCGTCGGTTTTGGCGTCTCTGATGGACAATGGGCAGCGCGCCTTCCCCAGAACGTGTATGTACTCGTCCTCGTGCCGTGGCTGTGGTTTCGTGATCTGTGTGGGGCTTCCCTGGCGTCGCCTTCGTCGCGTCGGTGAGCCAGATCGTGAAGTTGCGCGAGCGTGCTCGCATGTCCATCCGAAGAGCCTTCTGCACCTCGCGCTCAGACTGGTCGGGCATACCCAATATAATGTCTATGTGGAGCGATGGTAGCCTTTGGAGTCGGTGCGCCCACAAGTCGCGATGCAACGCTGCCGCGGGGTTGAGACGCACTCCTGCATTTGGGATGTCTTCGTCGACCAACTGGCGCGCTTCGGCTTCAAGGTGGCGCCTCTGTCGGTCTCCGTGTCCTCGTTGCTGCAGCGCGGAGCGCGGAGTATGCCCGCAATATCGCAGCGAGCTTCCCCCGCCAGTCGGACTGCTTGTTGCTGCAATGTGTCCGTTGAGCGCGCGGCTTCGCTCCCTTGGCGGCCATCCGCCGCGCGCGGCCCCGACCCATTTACCGATGTCTACCTTGGGGTTGGATGGAGAAGGTCGCGCAGAGGACCCGCTCCATGGCGCTGGCGAACTGGCAGCATTCCTGCCCCGAGGTCTTCGCTGCCAATGGGTCCGAGAGGTAGGCGACCACGCGCTCGACGTAGTCGGGCGGCTGTCCGCACTCGGGCCGTGGCCGTGAGAGCTCCCGCGATACCTGCCACAGGCTGCCCATGGTCCTGGTGTCAGGCATCCTCTCGGAGTGCGCACCTGGAGGGGGGGGGGGGGGGGGCTCCTGGGGCGGCGTCCTGTCCGCCTTCCCAGGTGCGCTCGATGGCGTCTCGCGGGTCTGCGGCACCTCGAGCAGCGCGTCGAAGTTTTAGCTCGGCGGCTCCTTGTCGCAGTGGTGCTCGAAGGTGGCCTCCTGGTCTATGCCCCCGAAAGGGTCGCATTCGTTGTCCATGCTGCTGGTCGCAACGATGGGCGCAGGGCCAATCGCTGCGGTGCCGAGCTGCATCCATTTTTGGTTCATCTCCTTTGTGAGGGCGTCGTAGTAGGTGGCGCCGTGGTCTGGCGTGGCGCTGTTCGGTATCCGCTGGTGGCCTGGTGCCCCCGTTGCTATTTTGTCTGTTTCTGCCGCTGCCTCTTGCCGTAGGGGCTGGGTGGTTTCGGCGGCGCAGGTGGCTGTGAGAAATGGCGCGGTCGCTGGAGTTGGCGCATGTTGGATTGGCTTGGCAGCTCCGCAAATACGAAATGTCTGCCCAACGTGAGTGCTCCAGACCGATGAAGTACTTGTGAGCGTCGTGGCTCACCAGCGCGTAGTCGATGGGCGTCGCCGTGGTGGTGCCTCTCTTGCTGTTGTGGGTGAAGCAGGTGTAGCCGTCTGGGGTCTCGGCAATCTCGGCTCCCACGACTTGCAGCCATCCTGAGTTCCATGGTCATTCCGGCGCTGTGTTCCAGCCTCCGATCGCAATCCAGGGGCGCTGGCAGCTGGCCAAGAAGGCGGCCAGCGTGGCGAGCCTCCTGACGTCGATCCCGCGCAGGCTGCCCGCGGGTCCAAGTGCGCGCTGACAAGCATGACGCTCACGCCCGTCTGGTGCCAGCACATCGGGACCCAGTCGAGGAACTCGTGGTGAGGGCTGTCCGCTGGCAGGCTGAGTACGCCTGCTGCGGCGGCGGAGGCGGTGCCCTCTTTTGTCTCCTCGCGGAAGCACTCACTCGGATGATGTGAGTAGGTGCCCGCGCAAGAGGCACCGTTGGAGCCGCGCTGGCTCTTGGTGGACTGGCGGGCTGGCGCGAAAGAGGCCTTGTAACCCCTGGTCTGAAGGTCGCGCTCCGCGTCCACCAGCTCGTAAAATTCTCAAGTGAGTCTCCTGAATGGCGAAGGCATCGAAGCGTTTCTCGAGCCTGGCAGCTGCCAGAACGTCCCTCACCTTGGTGCCCCACTCCGTGCAGCTGCCGACGAATATTTTGCGCTCCACATCGCCGCGGAGGCCGGCATGGCGATGGAAGCTGCGCAACCCCTATTCGTCCAGCTTCTCGGGCACGGGCCCTTTGCCCGCTGCCTGTGCGTCCTCCGCCTTCTTGGTTTTGGCTCGCACCTCGTCGAGAAGCTGGTCCTTGGTCTTGCTGTCCGCTAATGCTGCGCTTGGTTTCGTCGGCTGTCGCGGTGGTGGCGTAGGTGCTGACTCTAGTGCTGCTGCTGCTGCTGCTGCTGGCACAGCTTGGGCTCCGCTGTCGGATTTCCGCTTCTTTGCTGCCTCCTTGATGTCCTCACGATTAATGCGGGCCGTCTCTCGAATTTGCTGCAGGTATTGTCGTAGGCCCTTCATGTATGTCGCTGCGTTGTCTTTGTACGACTGGAGCAGAAGCCGCTTGGCGTCTGCTACTTCTTCGCGGGCGTCCTGGTCGTAGTCCTCGTCATCCTCCGAGTCGTCCGCGATGCCTGAATTGTCCAGGGCTTCCAGGTCCAGGTCCAAATGGTCTGCATCAGGTTGACCTTCGGCTTGCTCGCATCCTTGACTTTGGTGTCTGGTCGAACGCCCGTGATGTCCTCAACTGCCTTCTCTGCGTCGATCACGGCGCTGGCACACTCCATGAGGTGTGTATTCTGCTCAGCCAGCAGCTTGCGTGTGGTTGAAACCTTCTCGTGAGCCTTCTCGTGCTTCTCGTTGGTCTTCTCTGAGCGCGCGGCCGCGTTCCTGAGCTGCCGCGCGCGGGACTGGGCTGGTTCCTCCACCTGCGGGGCCAGGCCGTCGGCGACCGCCTTCAGCTGTGAGGCTGGCCCGCTGGTGATGCCCATCCCGCCAAGGACTCCGCGATGCCTCTGAAAGCGTCGGCCATTTCCTGTTGTTGCTGGTTGCCGCGGCCCTTGGAGCCGCCGTCCCCCATGTAGCGCTCTTTTTGGGCCGCTTGACCTTGCAGCTGCAGGAGCAGATCCAGTTCCGCTTGTTCCAGTCATGGTCGTAGCGCCATGCGCCGCAGGATCCGCAGGATCTGCAAGTGCGGCGTCGTGCCGACCGCGCGGGCGCCAGCTGCGGCGCTGCGGCGGCGGCGGCGGCGCCAGGAACTGCGCGTGGCCGCCAATCGGGCCCAGGGGGGGAGGCTGGCGAGGCGCGGAGTGCCTCACCCCCAGGGGCGCCGAGCGGCTCGCGTGAGCCCGACCTCCTGGGCGGCCTGATCGCTGTCGATCGCGCGAGGGATCGAGCGACCGCCCGACACGACCATGACCTGGCTCCCTCCCAGCTGAGGATAGATGGGCTTAGGAGGAGGAGGAGGAGGAGGAGGAGGAGGAGGAGGAGGAGGAGGAGGAGGAGGAGGAGGGAGGAGGAGGAGGGAGGAGGGAGGAGGGAGAGGAGGAGAGGAGGAGGAGGAGGAGGAGGAGGAGGAGGAGGAGGAGGAGGAGGAGGAGGAGGAGGAGGAGGAGGGGGAGGAGGAGGAGGAGGAGGAGGAGGAGGGGGAGGAGAAGGAGGAGGAGCTCCCAGAGGCCTCCCAGATGTGGTCCGAGCAGAAGGCGTGGTCGGAGGGTTGTGCCGCAGCGCCGATGCATCGGAGATGCGTCAGCGATGCGTCGGCGAGGCGTCGGCGATGCGGCGGCGATGCGGCAGCGACGCGGGCGTGGAGACAATCAAGCTCCACATCGAACTGCATCCCGGCGGCACCTGCGATGCGGCACGGTCCGCCGGCCCCACCTGCCCGGGCCCCATTATTGGGAGGCCTGCAGCCCTGAATATTCGACCACGGGCATAGGCGAGCTGTCAGCAGCGATGTCACGCGCCAGCGAACAGAGTGCTGCGTTCGCCTCAGGGCACATGTCCTCCCTGGCTGCGTTGCCGCTCGGTCGAGGCGCACGTTACTCTCTTCGGCAGGTTGTCGAAGGCAGGGCGCGCGCGCGTGAGCCCCAGGATCACACGCCGATAGCCAATTGTGCCAAGTCTGATTCCTGCCTTGTGGGATGGAGGGTGGGCAGGGGCGTGGCCCAATTAGTTACTCGTTCAAGCCGCCTAGCTTAAGTCCTATTCCTACTCTTTTTGCTGCGCATCCTCCGCATCCTCCGCCGCCTCCTCCTCCTCCTCCTCCTCCTCTTGCTCCTCCTCCTCCTCTTGCGCCATTTCCTCCTGCCCCTCAGGCTGCTCGTTGTATTCTGCCTTTCTCGAACACAACCTGCTCTGAATCTTTCTCTACCTCCTCCTGCACCGCATTTTCCCATCTCCCTCCTCTACTTCTCATCGCCGTTCCTCCTCCTCCTCCTCCTGCCTCCTCCCTCCTTCCTCCCCTCCTACTCACTTCCTCACCTTCCAATTCCTCCTCTCCCTCCCCCTTCGACCACCACACATCCAAACAAACAAACATGAGTTTTCGGAGGACCTCGCGACTTTCTTGGATCGGCGCTGGACCCCCCTCCCTGGCGCGCGGAGTGCGACAAGGGCGGCGTCGGAGGTGCCGCAAAAGGGTTCCAGCGCCGTTCCAGCAAACCGGAGCGGAACTCGGCCACGGGGGTCCAACGCCGATCCAAGAAATCCGAGCGGACCTCCGCAAAAAGTGGGCACACGCCGATCCAAGATGTCCGCACGGACCTCCGACCTTTTTTTGTTGTGCTCACGCAGAATCGTCGTCCCTCCAGGGTAGGGCAGGGCAGTCCTCCTCCTCGGACTCGGTCCACTCCTCGTCCGAGGGTGGCCCACGGCCGCCCCGTCGCCGCTCCCTCGCAGACGACGACGCCGCCGACGACGACGACGACGGCGACGAGGACGATGACGAACATTTCTCGGATGTTGCCAGAGGTTGTCCTGGCCCAAGGTGGTCCCAGCTTTTCACGCCATCTGGAGCCCCTGGGGTCCTCTGGGCCTCCTGAGGGGGCGCTCTGGAGGCCGTGGAGGCCTCCCGGGGAATCCTCGGGGGGCACCTTGGCGGCCAGAGACGCTTCTGGCAACGCCCTCTCAGAGCCATCCTCCCCCGACCTCTGCTGGAGCGCAGCCTGACCCCGACGTCGCCTTCCACCCCAATGAAAAAAACAGCCGAAGACAGAACTGCAACGACCACGACGACGACGACGGAGACGACCCCCGACGTCGTGTTTTTTTTTTTCTCCTCACAACGCGGACCAGAAGATTCGACCCATTCTCGCTTTTCATTCGGAGCCGTTGTTCCCCTCCCAATGCAGTGCTTGCACTGAAGGGGTCCAAGCGGATCTTGAAAAATCTGGCGAAACTGGGCGGCCGATTTCGGTAAGCCGCCGGTTCCCGGGATCCCACTTCCAGGTTCCTGGGTTCCCGGCTGCTGGCTTTGGGCCGCTTTCGGGATCCCGCGATCGAGGTTAGCATCGATCTCATGATCGCTCTCGCCATCCACTGATCGGGCTTTTTTTCTCTGGTGTAATTTCACAGACCTGGGCCCCCAAGGGCCGCAAATAGAAAGAAACGGTCCGCCGTTCAGTACCACGCGAGAGGCTCTGAGGCGCGGCCGACCCCCGGCCCCCCGGGGGCTCGACGGCGGCGGCGGCGAATGATACGTCGCCGATGCATCGGCGAGAGGCCCCCGATCGCGAAACCGCGCGGTCCTGAGCGAAGGTCGGCTATCGTTCGGTCGGGCATGTCCTCCTACAGGCGGATTCTGTCCAACAAATACAGTGCATGCTACGCCCCATCCTCCCATCCAGATTTTTTGCGATTGCGCGATGAGCGCGTGCGCAGTCCCGACGCGATTCGATCGCATACCCCATGCACGTGCCACGCTGGACGCTTCCTCGACACGCCAGCCGTGCGCTTTCAAAGGTGCAGGCACGGCCCTGGCCAAATCACGTGGCTCGCCACGCCAGCCCTGCGGGTCTGGCACGTTCGGGCCACTTTGGATCTATGGGTCCAGGCCCCCAGCCAGGACGGTCTGGGCAACCTCCGGGGGCGCCCCCCGGAGCCGCGAGGCAAGCAAGTGGGGTCACCAGCAACCGCAAGGCAGCAGAGGGCATTGAGGAATCGAACCATCAACGAGACCAACGAAAAACTCAGACCGAAACAGACTTGAACGCCTTCTCCGGCCAACGCAGGAAAGCACTTTTCGCACAGTCTGTGCCTATTGACACCCTCGACACTGCTCACGCGAATGAAAGCAGTCCCACCATAACGCCATCCACACCGAGATCTCCGCAGACAGGGCGGCTCGCAATGATACGTAGAACCGACTTTGTGGTAACAGCCAGCGCCGTTCCTGCCGATGATGAACTCAGGCAACACGAGGCTCCGAATATCGGACAAACGGCCGTCCAGGGCGACCACGGCATCGTGCAGATCGACAACCTCCTTCTCGGCATGCTCTGCTGCCGTCAAGGCTGCTCGGCATTGCTTAGCTGAAAACACGTGCGGCTCGCGCGGCATTGCGCCGTCATCGCCAGCACGAGGAACCACCGATGGCTGTGAAGTTTGTTTCCCGCCGCCTCCATAGACAAATGCACTCGTGAGCCCTTTCAATGGCGCCTCCTGAACGTAACGCATGACAACGTCAGACTGCCACCGGGCCAACAGCATGATGACCCTGATATCGATGCCGCGGTAAGCCAAATGCCTGGCACCACTGACCATACATACGTGCCCACCGAATTCTCTCGGGCCACTTTGCCCAAAGAGAGGCAGGCGAAGCTTGCCAACGATACGCTCGACCATGTCAACAATGGCGCACTTGTCACACGTGCCCCCAGAGGCGCCCGGGAAGAAAGCGGGCGCCTCTGGCAATGCACCGTCAGCGCAACCCCGCGTACGACGCAAAACCTCCATCTGGCCGAACGCCGCGTGACATGGGCATGGCGCAGAACCTGCAGAAAAGCACATGCAGCACCGCGACCTCTCGTGCGTGAAAGTGCCTGCGTGTCAGGTTTATGTTACAGGCAGATGAATGTTCACAGTCTTACTCTGCATGTCCACGGTCACCGCGGAGGCCAGCATGAGGCTCGCCTCGATCTCCCTCAGCGTGCCACTTATACTGGCCACAAAGGGGGCCTGTCCACAGCCCCGGACTGGAACTCTGCATCCATCGCCCGCGCTGCTGCCCAAGCCTCATCAATCGGGAGTTCGGCGCATTGGTGTGCTGGACCGATGCCTCGGCGAGCTAACGCATTAGCTCTCTTCTGCTCCCTGGCCAAGGGTGTGGTCCACTCGTAGAGTTCACAGTGGCAGTCCTGAGCAACTGAAACATAATTCTCGGCGGACCTGTAACCACCTTGGACCATCATGGCCATCGCACTCTTGATGCTCTCAACCGTCAAGGTCAAAACTGGAACCGCACCAGAATATCCAAACAAGGCAGCATGAAACTTGCACCAGGTGCTCCATTGCGACGCCCTGCTGCTTGCCGACGACGGAGTATGCGCTCGGCCCTCATAGAGGACAAGCGCATGAGTGCGGTCTGTCTCGGATCCTGTTGCAGCAATGGCGTCGCTACGACACCCCCGCGCGTAGCCACCCTCGCGGGGGGGCGTCTGCTCATTCGAGCTGCGGACAACGCTGCGAAAGTGGACCCGGGCCGCCGCCGCCCCGAAGCTGCAAGCGCCTCGCCTCGCGAGCCGGCCCGCTGGCCGACTCGGCAGCAGCAGGCAGGGTGCCTGAAAGCACTCGGTCGTCTGGCGTCCGATCGGGTACGTCTTCCGCCCCATCGGCCGGAAGCCTTGCCAATGCGCCCCGGGCCAGCCGAGGCCGCTTGCGCATCGGCGTCAGTCACCGGGCGGTGCGTCGGGCGAGATCGGACTTCAGTGGCGTGGAATGCCTGGTCCGCCGGCATGCCCGCGTTCAGGAGCTCCAGGAAACTGGCCACGGCCGAGGCAGGGGCCACGCTAAGGCTCAGACAACGCCCGCCGCCGCCACGGCCGCTCCAGGGAAGGGTCTGCGGCAAGCAGAAGGCACCGGATGTTCACGAGGGGGTGATCGCGATGCCTCTGGAACGAAGCCTCCGGACCTTGGCCCCGCGCAGACGAGGCGCCTTCCCCATCCCTTGATCCGAAGAATATTCGAACAAAGACCGGCAGGAGCAGGCGCGCGTAAAGATCCACGGAAAGTGCCGCCGCTACCACGGACAGAAACGAGTCGGGCATGCAGCGTCGCATCCGTGGAAAGCGTCGCCGCTAACACGGATAGAAAAAGAGTCGGGCATGTAACCTCGCATCCATGGAAAGCGTCGCCGCTGCCGCGGGCCCGAAGCGTCGCACCAATCGGAACGCGCAAAAGAAAAAGGAGGAAACGGATGCATAATGTCAATGGTGCCGACCGCTCGGTGTGCCTGCCCATTCCAAGGAGGAGGAAACGAATGCAGAATGGTAATGGCGCCGATCCGTCGTAACTTTCGGTGCGCCGATCCATATGCCATCATCATTTCCATCGTTGCTCTCCGTTTCTCCCTTTTTTTTTGTTCTCTCTCTCTCTCTCTCCCTCTCTCTCTCTCTCTCTCTTTCTTCATATTTCCCTCTCTCTCTGCGAATGCGCCTGGGTGATTTGCAGAAGAATAGAAGCAGGCCGCGTGGGGATATGATGTGAAGATGGTTCGCTGACAATCCAAACGCATTCCTCCATGCTTGTCCAGCCCTTCTAACCCAACTCAGCGCCATTTATGGCGCGGCTGGGCCCTGCCGCGCCCGGAAAAACTCCCTGGCACGCTCAGGCGGGCACTCGCGAACCGCCCGCGCATGGGCTCGGGGCGCGGCGGGCGGGCTGGCTGGGCAGAAAAATCGCGACAGCTGGTCGTCTGCGCGGTTGAAAACGCCAGGGACGTGCGCTGCCGTGTCCAGCCAACACACGGCCTCAGTAATGTCTGGTGCGAGTTCACGAGCAACCGCGGCCGTGCCTGCATGACTTTTCGTCCTGCAATGCATCACCATGGTCAGGGTTGAAACGGAATCGCTCTTGACGGTGACGACGGCGCGGCGGTCTTGCCAATGATGTGCCCAGAGGCGCAGCCCAACCAGGACCGCGAGTCCTTCGCGTAGCTGCTGCCCGCGGCAGCCTCCCCTGTCGAACGGCAGCAAGGTCGCGTCGAGATCACGAAGTACGCCACAGGGACTCTTTGCCTGGGCAAGATGCCGCCAAGTCCCCACGTGCATGCGTCAAACGTGAAAGTGACGTGCCCGTTGTGCGCATCGGTGGAGAACGCCCTTTCGACGCCACCTTCTTTCTGCGGCAGATGGCTCATATCCACAGCAGCGTGGTTGCGGCCTGACCTGTCCAGACGCAACCGCGGGGCGCTGCAGACGCCTTTTTGTCGGCCACGGCCGCCCGCAACTGCGACGGGAAAGGCGCGCACGCAAACAATAGAGAAACTACGTGAACAGCGCGGCCGGCACACGTGCGCAACGCCTTCTTCGCCAGCGCGCCGCCGTTCAAGAGGGCGACGGTGTCCTTCCACATGTGCTGCGTGATCTCCGGCATGATGGACGCACGCGCGCCCTCAGACTCCACCGCCAAAACAACCGACGCCCATGAGACGCGCTTCCGACGTTGAGCCTTCTGCCGGGAGAAAGGGGAAACCGATGGCCAGCCAGGTGCTCAGCGCCTTCGCAACAATAACCTCGCGATGCGCCAGGCCGCCCCTGACCGCCGTGATGGGGTCATCGACGTAAGCGTTCAACCGAAGGTTGCACGCGGGCGACAAGGCTTGCACCCATCTGGACGCAAAAGCCGCAGTGCGGCTCCACGGCAGGGGGCCCCCCGAGAGCCCTGGCCTGGTACTCCTGGGCTTCACGCAGACCACCGAAGCATCTGATGAAACCTTTGTCGACGAGACTCTTCAGCTCTGCTAGAGCATCGTCGTCGTCGTCGTCGAAACGTGAACCGGCGTTGGGATCCCATTCCAGCAGCTGACCGCGCAGATGAGGAACGCGCGCCGCCCGTCTGCCCCCCGCAGCGGAGCCACTGTGAAATCGCCACATCGGGATCGCCAGACAAGTTGGCCCACGCCTCGAACATCCCAGGCGTCGGGCCTATCAAACTTGGATATGTCAGAGCATCCAATCCACGACGCTAGGACGCCGCGACACGTGTCCACATAGGCATCAATAGTACAGAGCCAGCACGCGGGCGCACGCGCGCCGCTGCGAGACGCGTGCTCATGCTTCGTCGGCGCGCCAACCAAGTCCCACAGGAAGTCAACCATGTCCATCCGCCCCTCGAAGAACACGTCTAACTTGCGCCCGAATGAACGACCTGCGTCCGCAGGCATCGGGTGTTTCCCGACTGACTTGACAGTTCTTCTGAGACTGCCGACGGCGAGCTCCTCCATTTCCCACTTCGAAGGCTGGCCGACTTGCGCAGCCAAGTGCGCTGTCATCTGGGGGCCCTGCCGTCTTCCACGTGCATGCATCTGGGCGGTTTACACATCGGGCCCCAAGGACAGTTTCCGATCTGGCGTTTCCAGCGCCCCCTGCCTGCAGCCGAGGGTTGCCCTGGGGCGCGCCCGGCAGGGAATCTGGGCCTGGGCCCAGCGAGGCGAAGTCGCCCCAGAAGGCTGCCGTCTCGCACCAGCGGGAGACCGCGCGAGCGATCGCTCCAGCTCGCCGCCAGCGCCAATATCTGTCATCACGCGGCGGGTCTGCGCGCGCCTCCTCGCCTCCAACTCGACGCGCTCGTCGAGCAGGCGCGGGCCATGAGGTGTCACGCAAACCAGAGATACACCGACGTCACATGCAAACCGGGCCATTGCTACCAGACGATGCACAATGCTGTTTGCAATGCGCACGCTCCCCTTGATGGCAGGGCCCTTCATGGCGCTCGCGACGCCGCAGCGGCCTGCCCCCCTCGCCGCGCGGCGCGCCGGCAGGTCCAGCCCTGGCGAGGCGACGAAGGTGCGAAAAGGGAACGCGACAACGAGCCGATGGCAGCGGCGCGCGGCCTGCATGGTCTGCTCGAGTGCAATCTTATCCAGAATTCTCTCTTCACCTTCCGCGCTGGCTAGGTCAATGACGTCGAAAACAGCGCGCCTGGATCGCAAGTCCGAGACAAGCTCTGGCAAGGGTACGGCGCCGTCGTGCACCAACGTGCCAGGCCGCGGCAGGGGCCGCCACCCGGCAGAGCTGCAGCCATCATCCAGCGCGCGGGCAGCCGCGTCGCCACTCGAGAGATTCTCTTTTGCACTCGGCGATCGATATCTTTTGCCCGCCAGCACAAGCGATGCTGCGGCTCAGCGCTTCGACCCCTTCTCCTTGCCCTTGCCTTTTGGGCCAGCGCAGCCTCCCCGTTTGCCAGTGGCGTTGGTCGCGCACTTGGGGCCGCCGAGCGGATTGCTTGGATGTCACCCAAGGCGCTGGTCGCACTGGTGGGCCTTGCCAGGCGACCCTCACGTCGGCGCGCCACTGCGGGTGACCGTGTTGGTGCGCTGCCCAGTTTGGTATCCTGCGCATAGCTCTTTCTCTGCAGGGTCGTGGGTGTAGACACCCCCTGACACCCAGCGCACTGTCGCCCCAGTGGCGCTCCTGGATCGGTCGTTGCCGCCGCTCCGGCTCGGTAGCTGCTGGGGCTGCCGGCTTGCGCCAGCGGTCGCAGCGGCTGTGCCACTGCGGCGCCCCTGCCAGAAACCTGAGGCGCCGCCATGCCCGTGACCTCCAGTCCGAGCCAGCCCCCGATCTTCACGACCTCTGCGCGGATGAAAACTGCGTTATCCTCGAATTCGTTGCGCCAGAATTCAGAATCCTCCGTTGCTGCAGTGAGTGCCCAATCCCAAGGCACGTCTGGATCATAACCGTGGCTCTGGGGACGATTGAGAGCAGCAGCGCGCTTCTGCGCTGCCTCTCCACGGCGCCGGACCCTCTCGAACTTCCCCAGCCGCATTCGGACGTCTAACTGGCACAGCAGCAGCCACGTGCGAGGGCCATGCCTTTGATGAAGGCGCTTTATGTGGTCCAGGTAGATGTCCAATGACTCTGGAGACGCATCCTCTAGCATGATCACGGCTTTGCGGAAGATGGCGTCGCATGCTCTCCAATCCTCCTACGTGCAAGGCTCTTTCAATTCCCTTGCATGCAGCGTGCCATCACACGCAAAAACGTATCCTTCGAATGCTAGCTTGCGCTGGACCCTGTTGCTGTTCGGGCCCCACACAAGACAGTCGGTATTGAAGTCGACCCGGCGGCCAAAACAGCATGTAAGACGCTCAACTGTTCCAGCGTTGGCTCGACGTCTTTATGGGGAGTAATAGGCTCCGCCCCAGGTTTCCCTGAACCCATCTTCATGTTGTACACCTGGTACGCTTTGGCCTCGTCCTCCCTGCCGAGCAGGGTGTACTCCGTCTTGAGGTCCCCCTGGTCAACGACCGTCTCGGCGCTGACCTTTTCGTAGCTGCAAGTGCAGACACAACCACCTGCGTCGGAGCTGAAGTGGGAGAAGCCTGTGCGTCCGCATTCTGGTGATCACGATCAGCCTGCAGCGCAGTCTCCCTGACGACCGTCAGTTTGTGAACTCCCATCGTGTACTGCGCTACCTCCCAGAACATACCAAACAAAGAAGCCACGTGCGGCGTCGGCTCAACGAGCGTCTCGGCCTCGCCTGAGGACGCACTTTGGACCTTGATGCTGGAAACGATGGTGTTGTAGTCAGACTGTTGCATGCGTGCGATGCTGCGCATGCTTGTGGTGTCGTCGACTCCAAATGTCGAATTCCAAGCCTGCGCAGCCGGACTGGGAAGCCGACACCACTCGAGCACGGGTCCAACAGTGCGCAAGTCTGACAGCTCAGCCTCGTCTGGCTCCATCGCGCAAGTGGCGACTGAGGTGCGCGGGAATCAAAAGGGTACTCTGATGGGGAGCGCTGCCGCTACGATAAAACATATGCAACACATACTCAAACAAAAATACGAATCATCGGAAAATCGTCCCCAGACTGTGCCCTGCTGCAGAGGGACTCGCCCGACTCAAAGCTAGCGGGCCCCTATCGGCGATGAGCGCGCCAGAGGGGGGGGGGATCCGTCCGCCCCTGAGCCTGACCCCCCTCCCTCACGTTGCCCCTATCGGCGATCAGTGGGCGATCAGTGGGCGATTGGGGGTCGATGCTTCACACTCAGAGCCCCACTCCCCCCCCCCAAAAAAAAACGCTGCCCCCGGCCTCTTCGACGCCTGGAGGTCTTCGGGTCACAACTCGGGCCTCCGACGGCCGATCGGGACAGTCTGACAGGGCAGCCCCAGAACGCTCTCGGCGAGGCGCAGCCGCTGAAGGGCGCCCCGAGGCCGGAAAACCGACGAGAGCCTGCGAACCCGGCCGAGAACCTCGAACCTCGGACCCCAAACTTTTCCCCCAACGTGGCCCTGAGACCCCCCCCGACGCTGCCCCTTGACGACGCCTCGCAGCGCGGGCGCCGCCGCCGCCAGCGCCGGCGTCGGAGCGCCACTCCTCCAGGCGGCGGGCCCAGGTGGGAAACGAGAGGGGTCAGGCCTGCCCAGAAGGCGGCGGGGCTTCTGGGAAGCCCTCGCGACTTCTGGGAAGCGTCATGAGCCTTCTTCTGAGCCAGAGACGGCTTCTCAGAAGGCTGGAGGGCTTCTGCGAAGCCTCCGCTGCCTTCTAAAAAGCCAGCCCCCTCTCACATCCTCGGCTACACGCAAGGGTGATCCTACCTTCGGACGGGCATGTCCCCCTACAGGCGGATTTTGGAGGAACAATCAAAAAGATTTAAACAATGTTCAAAAATAGTCAGAAGTCATAAAAAAAAAAAAATCGTCCCCAGGCCCCAGGGTATGTTTGACTATTGTTGAGAATTCCTCTTGTAGGGACACAGGCGCGACTTATCCCTAGGCAGAAGTGGCCGTTGGTTCGCGGCTTGAGGGGTCCACGGGGGGGGTGGAGCAAAACCAAGCGCGCAAGCTTCTGCCGGGGGGACTCGTGTGAGCCCGCACCAGCAGCCACTCCGGCGAAGCGTCACTCTTGATGGGCCTGTTTCCCACCACCACCACCAGAAGTTGGAGGGAGGAAGGAGGTGGAGGAGGAGGAGGAAGAGGAGGAGGGGGAGGACCCCCTCCCCGTCCTACTTCTGGTGGTGGCGGTGGAAAACAAGCCCACCAACTCTTACGCGCACGGACGGTTCGTGTCGTGTGGACCCCGGCGTTGGCTCCTGACACCGCGGGGACGTTCGGCATCGACCGATTCTGGGCCGCCGCCGGTCGACACGACGCGAACCCACCGTCAAGGATCTACTGACCTGGGGCAATCCAAACCCGGGTCAGTCAGGCTTTGCAAGATGCTGCAGGATCCTGCGCCCAAGCCCGGGTCAGTGCAGCCCTGGCCCTGCAGGATCCTGCAAGACCTGGCGCTCTGACTGACCCCGTCTGCATTGACCCCCGTCTCTTCAGCCCCGATACCGCAACCGCGATAAGTCTTTAGAGCCCCCTCCCCCAATAGGTGGTAACAAATCATTTCTCCAGCGGCATCATTGAAGGACTGGGGTCCCAACAATAGGGGGTAAGTAATATTTGTTGTTCCGCGGGACCCTCCGCACAACAAGGAGGAGGAGGAGGAGAAGGAGCAGGAGGAGGAGGAGAGGAGGGGGCGAGGGAGGAGGAGGAAGAGGCTTCAGGACCAGTCCTATTCACCGCCGCGTGAAAAGGGGGGTTCTCCTGATCCTCCTCCTCCTCCTCCTCCTCGATCTCCTCCTCCTCCTCCTCCTCGATCTCCTCCTCCTCCTCGATCTCTCCTCCTCCTCCTCCTCCTCCTCCTCCTCCTCCTCTCCCTCCTCGTCCTCCTCCTCCTCCTCCTCCTCCTCCTCCTCCTCCTCCTCCTCGGGATCAAAACCAAAAACCTCCTGAGGTTAGCCGCCTGCCACCCCCCATCGCGCCGCCCATCCTCCGCCCACTGCCGCCAGGACCGCGGCGGCGCGCCGCTGCCCCGCCCGCCGCCCCACTCGGGCGGCCACTCCGAGCTCGGCCGGCGGCCGCGCCCAGCGCGCGGCGGGCGGCTAAAGACCTCCTCGGGGACGTCGGAGCTCCCTCGAGCAGGGGGCGTCGATGATCGAGGAGGGCCTCCCAGAGGTCTCCCTCCTCGGGGAGGTCCTCCGAAGACGAAGCCAGGACGAGAGATCACATCGGGTGAGGATAAATCTCTGAAATCCGGCGGCTCTGGAGGACGACTCTGGCGCCGCGGCCTTCTCAGAACGTTCCAGAATGCTCTGAGAGCGTTCCGGAACGCTCTGAACGGATTGATCCTCGTCTTGGCCCCGTCCGACTTCCTCGGGGAGGTCGTCCTCCTCGGGGAGGTCAGGGCTCTTTCGGGCACTGGGCGTCGAGGATCGACAAAGCTCTTTTCAGGGATTGAGCGTCGAGGCTAGGAGGAGAGCCGAGGGCCACGAGCAGCGAACGCATCCACATCCACGCCCTCGCGGTCTGGATTCGGTGGCATGATCCCGCGGATGCGCGGTCGCACTGATACGGATATGTTCCGCACGGGGCACCCGCGAAACAACTGCCCCGCTTCCGCGGTCCCACGAGGCCGCGGGCACGGATGTGTTCTTCGCCCGCGAGGAGCGGAGGATCGCGGACCAAGGAGGGCCAGTGAGGAGGATCGAGGGCGGCGGGCGAACGAGGATCGAGGAGGATCCAGGAGGAGGAGGAGGAGGATCGGGAAGAGATGGGTCGAGAGCCGAGGGGGGAATCGAGGACCGAGGAGAGGATTGAGGTCCGAGTTCAGAGGCCGCAACGGGTAGCCAGCGGTCATCTGGTGAGGCTGCTCTCGAGTCTCAGTGCAAGCGCGCAAAGCCCGCCCATCCCCGCGGGGGAGTTGTACTCATCTGCGCGGAATCATCAATTGGCGGCGCGCGCAGGGGGTAGGGGGGAGGGGGCAAGGCTTGGAGCAGCCTCCCCCCTGGGGGAGGGGGGAACGCTTCTTAGAAGGAGGCTGCTTCTTGGAAGGCGCCAGCCTTACATCTGTAGATAAAGGCCCGCGCCTTCTGAGAAGCAGGGTGCTTCTAAGAGGCCTTCCCTCCTCCCCCATACCCACGTCTTTGCTTGGCCGAGTTGAGCCTCCTCGTGCTTTTCAATGGCAGTTTGACTCATGAGCAGTCCGAGCGCGGGCGCTGCCGCCGTATGCATTGCGGTGCTGGGCGCCGCCGCCGTACGCGTTGCATTGCAATCGCATTGCGTTGCATTGCCATCGCGTTGCTTTGCATTGCTTGTCAATGTCATTGCGTTGCAATGGCATTGCGTTGTATTGCAGTCGCATTGCAGCGCACTAACTTGCATTGCTTTCAAATCGGGTTGCATTGCAATCGCATTGCATTGCGTCGCAATCAAAGTGTTCTGCAATGCGTTCCACTACTTTGGGTTGCTTACTTTCGTTGCAATCGCACTGCATTGCATTGCATTGCATTGCATTGCATTGCAATCGCATTGCGATTGGATTGCAATCGCATTGCGATTGGATTGCAATTGCATTGCGTTGCTTTGCATAGCTTTGTAATCGCAATGCGTTGTAATTGCCTTGCAATGTAATCGCATTGCATTGGATTGCTTTGCATTGCTGTGTATTGCCCACGTACACTGTACACTGCAACCGCATTGCATTGCCTTGCAATCGGATTGCATTGCATTGCAATCAGCATTGCACTCTGCATTGCAAGCAGCATTGCAGTCGGCATTGCAATCAGCATTGCTTTGCAATCGCGTTGCGTTGTCTTGCTTTGCGTTGCCTTGCTTTGCACTGCTCTCTATTGGTTTGCATTGCAATCGCATTGAAGTCGCACTGCGTTGCATTGCTCTGCATTGCGATCGAATTGCGTTGCCTTGATGTGCATCGCATTGTACTCGCATTGCTTTGCATTGCATTGAGTGGCATTGCTTTGCGTTGCTTTGCATTGCGTTGCATTGCTTTGCAATGTTTCGATGTGCATCGCTTTGCACTGCGAAGCGTTGCTTTGCAATCGCATGTCTGTGCATTACTTTGCATTGCTTCGCATCGCGTTGCATCGCTGCGCATTGCAATTGCATTGCAATCGCTTACATTGCATTGCGTTGCTGTGCATGATGTTGCATTGTTCTGTATTGTATGGCTTTGCATTGCAATTGTATGTTTTTGCATGACGTTGCCTTGCTGCGCAAACATTGCAACACATGGATGGCGCACCCAGACTGCACCGCATTCACTGCACAACAAGATTGCGCAGCATAGATAATGAGAAATCACGGTTTGAAATACACGTTGACGAACATATATGCAACATGTGCGGGGTATTCATGTGGTGTTTGTGCGGGTATGTGTGGTATGTGCCTGGCATTCGTGGTCTTTGTTTTGTGCTCGCTGTGTCTGCCGTATTCTTGGGAAGGATTTCAAAATCCCTGGAGATTCCAAGAAATAGTACTAAGGCTGTGAAGGCGTTCTCAGGGACACTCGGTGACTCGTTGGGCCTAGCAGCCGCGGCATGGAGGGTTGGCAGGCGGGCTTCTCTCTCAAAACTAGAACCCCCAATCTGTCGTGAGGGGAAAATGCCCAGAGCGCTCTCAATGCCAACCAGGCTGAAGAACTACTGGAGTCTCCACCACATGCACTTGGCGAATCCTGCACAACTGGCACAATAGGAGACGGATGACAACGTGGAAGAGACGGAGGAGGCTTGAGCACGCAACACCAAAACCTAGGACCTAGGAGAAACCTGGACCTCCTCGAGACCAAACAAGAACAGATCAGGGCCCCTCCAACCTGGTCTGGACCCTGCATGCGGGTAATTGACATTGTGGGGACCGGCTCAAGGGAGGGGGGTCATTGACCTGGAATCGGCGAACGGGGGCTGGCCATCGGGCCCCTATCGGCGATCAGTGGGCGATGGGGGGTCGATGCATCCACCGCTGAGCCTAAACCCCTCCCCCCCAGCCTTGCCCCTGGCTGCAGGGCCCTTAGAGTCGACCCCGGGGCCTGTCCTGGAGCGCGCTCTGTCCAGCTACAACCGTGGGCCCCCAGGAGCCTTCTAACCAAGAGTTTCGTTGCCTCGTCGTCCTCGTTTGCTCGTTCGCCCGTCGCCTTTTCGTTGTGGAAATGACGACCCCAGGAGCACACCAGGACGGCCCCACGGCCCCCCCAGAAGAACACCAGGATGGGCCCCCAGGAGCCTTCCAAAAAAGAATTCTGCTGCCTCGTCGTCGTCGCTTGCTCGTTCGCCCGTCGCCTCCTCGTCATGGCCATGACGACCCCCGGAGCACACCTGGCTGGCCCCACGACCCCCCCCCCCACCCCTCACCCCGCACCGCCTGGCCCGCGCCCTCCCTCGCGCGAGAGCCGGGGCGTGCGCGCCACTTCCAATTGCTCCGCCGACCCCCACCCGAGCACGCGAGGCGGAATGCACGGGGAGCGGCGACACGCTTCGGGCTGGGCGGCCGCGCCCCGAAGGGCGCGCGAGGCGGGGCGGGAACGCCTTACGTCCAAGAATCCAAGCTCGTCGAGTGGGGAAAACACGTAGCATCCTTGCGCCCAACAACGGAACAACAGTGCGGGCATGTCATCTAACATGAGGCTTCTGCCACACGAGACAAAATTCTGTCATTCCCCTTTCCCTCCTCTGGGGTCAGAGAACTTCCGATAGACCGCGCTCGTGGGGCCCGACAGACTAGAAGGGGGGCCCCAGCTTGAAGCTACCCCCCTCTCCCCTTCCTTGCTGAAGGGGGGGGGGGGGCTTCGGAAGCCCCCTCCCCCCTCCCCCCCTTTTCGTGGTCTGGAAAGGGGGGGTGGGGCTTCCAAGCTACCCCCCCTCCCTCCCTTTAATTGAGCCGGGGTGAGCCACCCCCCCCCTTTGAAAGGGGGGGGGGCTTCGGAAGCTACCCCCCCCTCCCCCTCTTTTCGTGGCCGGAAAAGGATGGGGGGGGCTTCCAAGCTACCCCCCCCCTCCCTCCTTTTAATGGAGCTGGGGTGAGCCACCCCCCCCTTTGAAAGGGGGGGGGCTTTGGAAGCCCCCCCCCCTCCCTCCCTTGGTGCAAAGGGGAGTGGGGGGGCTTGAAGCCCCCCCCCCCTTCCCCCCTTTGGCCGCCCAGCTCCCGGAGCCATCGCCCTCCCTTTCGTTTCCATTTATTCCGGCCCTCTCCCTCCTCCTCTTCTTCCTTTTGCCTCCTCCTCCTCCTCGTCCTCCTCATCCTCCTCATAGTCATCATCGTCATCATCATCATCATCATCATCATCATCATCATCATCATCATCATCATCATCATCGGCCGCCCAGCTCCCGGAGCCATCGCCCTCCCTTTCGCCTCCATTTATTCCCGCTCCTCTCCCTCCTCCTCTTCTTCCTTTTGCCTCCTCCTCTTCCTCGTCCTCCTCATCCTCCTCATAGTCAGCATCGTCATCATCGTCATCGTCATAATCGTCATCTCATCGTCATCATCATCATCATCATCATCATCACCATCATCATCATCATCATCATCATCATCATCATCATCATTATCATCATCATCGTACTCCCCCGCGGGTCCTTCCGTTCCGTTCCTCCTCCTCCTCCTCGGTTTTCTCCTCCTCCTCCTCCATTTTTCCCTTCTCCTCCTCCTCCTCCTCCTCCTCCTCCTCCTCCTCC